TGTGCATTTTGTGTATTTAACAATACTCAAAAGGTATATACATGGACTCGAAGGCTTGATGAACAGAAATACTGTTTTTCAGGCAGAACTTTTAGCGATAAACGCTGCTCTCACTTATGTTAAAAGAAATCTATCGGGCAAGACTAAGATCTTCAGTGATTCATTATCTAGTCTGCAGGCTATCTCAGACATTACGAATAGAAATCCGATTGTACAAGTTATTCAAGAGAAATTGCTAAGATTTAATTCATCTGAAAGACCACTTCTTACCTGGGTGCCAGCTCATGTTGGCATACTGGGCAACGAAGAAGCAGATACTACTTTAGCTAAATGGGCTGCTAATGATATCAACGGAATTGAAAATCCAACGAAATTGCCTTTTTCACACTTGAAGAGCGAGACTTTAAATACACTGCTTGTGAAATGGCAGGAAAGATGGACTAATGACTCCACAGGAAGACGAGTCTTCTCTTTCTTTCCAAAAGTTTCACTCAGTCAAAGAAGCACATCGAATTTTTATACTCAATTTTTCACTGGTCATGGACCTTTTAATACATATCTCTTTCGATTTGGACTACGTACGACTGAGCTTTGTTCTTGCGGGGAGTTGGGAGACCCTGAACACTTTATCTTTCACTGTCCATTTACTAAAAACCTTCACTTGAATAAACCTTTAGATCAACACAGGCCAAAATGGGCTGAATTGATATTAAAAAACTCTAGTGAGAGTAAGAAATTTAAGGAAATTATGCTTTTCTGTCAGGAATTAAATTTTTCTGTAAATAATTCTCTCAGATCATCTCTATTGGGAGTGAGTAATTGACTTTCAGCGACTGTTAGATTTTTACTGTATAATGGTAATTGTTTAACTTTGTGTGTTTGATGCTTATTATTGTTCAGTTTTTGTTGTTTCCACTACTTATGTTACTGATTTAAAATTAGAAATGGTTTTACGTAGAACAGACGTATCTGACATTGAATGCATCTATGCTCTTATAAATTGTAACGGTTACTTGTAGCCTATTACTTTCTTATATTGTACAAATAGTCGGTTTTATTTGTGACGCACATAGTATTTGTTGTATGGTACTGAAATCGTTCTTAATCATATATATATCATGATTATTTTGTTCAGTTTTGCAATTGTTAATTAAATTTAACAGAAAATTTTTGTGACAATTTTAATTATTTTGCATATTTTAATGCATTCTTTTGTAATTGAATTGATTCGCTTTGGTGAATTTGATAGGCATTAATTGTGCATTCTATTATAAAAATTTGCATTCATGATAGTTATTTTATATTAATTTTCTTTACTTTAATCTTGAATGCATTTTGTATTTGATTTTGAAATTCTGTAAAATTTTATGTCGGCATTTTTCTAGTATTGCATTTGTCTTAGCGATGCCAGCAAATCTAATCTAGAATAATTATTTTGTATACCTTTTTGCACTTTTCTGAATTGAATAGTTGACCTGTTTTTTGTGAATTTTATTGGTTTTACTTGAGTTCTCTATTGTAAAATGTGCATTTAAGGCAGTATTTTATAATAATTTTCTTTGACTTATTTTTGAATGTTTGATTTATTTTTGAATGATGTGGTTTTTGGAATCGGAATTTTTTCATATATTTATGTTGGCATTATTCTTGTACTGTATTTCTATCGCGTTGCCAGCAAACCTGATGTAGAGTTTTTATATTACTTGGAGTGGTTTTGTTTTTAAACCAAATTTATGTTTTGCATTGTAATAATATCTCAGGTTCAGTGTATTTTATGATAATATTGTTCAGTTATCAAAGTTATTGGTTCTTAATTCTGAATTCATATGAAAAAATTTTATTTGGCAGTTTATTATTGTCTTAGTTTATCTTTATGCATTTTTTTTTTTCTAAATTGAATGGTTCTTCTTGAATTTGTGAATCTAATTGAAATTAATTGTGTATAATACAGTAATGGATGTATTATATTTTGTTTGTACCATAGTTTTTATTTAAATTAGTTGGACTCAGTTTTGAAATTATTTCGTATTTTCAATACAAATTATGAAAGTATACTCGGTTTATTGTTTGAATGCTATAGGTACTACTTGTAACATGCTTTCTTTAGGGTCTATTAATGACTATGTTACTTATGTCCTTGTGTTCTTGAAGGCCTTGTATGCCACTGTAAACTTATTTTGCTTAGTTATAATAAATAGCTTCTGGAGGCAGGGGCTTTAATCCGTGTAAGGCAGACATCATGTCAGCTAGGTAATGGAGCCCCTGTTCTCTGGTTAACAGTAGATATAAAGGTATAGCTTGGAGCCTTATCCTGGGGAACTTGACACAGTGAAGATTGTTTGGGAAAAGAGATGGAATTTCTTCTTTAAAACTAGGTGTTAAAACATGTTTCTGATAGTAATCCGAATTAACTTCGACATTTTTTTCTACTTTCCTTATTTAAATTTTTCCGTTATAAGAGAATCCAGTAATAACCGTAAAACCTTTGGAAAAACGTTCCTTGTTTTCTCTGAACTAACATATGAAGTCTTTTTCTCCTCTTTTTCGGTAGAAAATCGATCTTTTTCTATTGCAATCAGATAAGTATATCCAAGCCTCATCAATTCTAACTATATATTTCCATTTTTCACTTGCCAAATAATTCTCATACAGCAATCTGCAAATAGTCTTACGCTGAGAAACATGTTTCGGCGTCAGGTTCATAAACATCATGTTTTTTTTATTTATTATTTTTATTTTTTTATTTTTTATTAGCTTTAAATCAGATTTTATAACTTTGTTTACAGTTCCTGCAAAGATATTAAAAGATTTTGCAATAGAGATTTTAAAATATGAGATTTACCTTGTACGTACCTTTGTCCGTTATGCATTTTTTGCTTTTTTCTCAGTTAGATGTAAATTTTGACGTTTCTTTCCTTTCGTGTCAATTACGTCACTTAGAAATATTAAAACTATGCTTTTCACATATTTTTTTAATAATCGAATAAGAGTATTTCTCTTCAGACAGCGCAAAAATGTAGCCTTCAATCCATTATTTATTTTTCAGCGACATTACAAAAAGGGGTAAACACGCTAAGTGTACAATACAAAAATTTATAAAATTATAAGCTGGTAAGTTATAATATTTCCTTGAATAAGAATGCTAGTAAGAATTTCAGACAATGCAGCAAATGACATAAGTAAAACAAAGGGAAAACAAAAATTACCTTAAAGAAAAGTACATAGGCAGAAAATAACTATTTATGTGAAAAAAACAGGTAGTACAGCGAAAAGAGCTCGGAAAAGATCTTTCTTCTGTAAATCAGGCAAAGAGTAAAGAATGCTGATTCAAAATAGTACTGACTGGGAAGTATAGCAGTTTTGCCATCACCACTTGATGACAGTAAAGAGACTAAAATGTTTCTTGAAAAATTTTACTCATAGGTAACCAGCTCAAATTGTAATAATTTCTTTATATAAAAATTAATTGGTTATATTAATTACAATTAATGTAACCATAAAAAATCGTTAAAAATACCTGAGTAGTAACCATATCACTGTAAAAATGATCATCTCTTAATAAATATTCCAGTTTTCCTGAACTCAGTCGAAATATCATTTTTTACTGGTGTTGCAACCGTATCAGATCTAGCTCTAAAAATCAAATATAATAATCCAATATCCTTATGACTAGTAGAATAAATTTATTGCAGTAATTTACTTTGTATAAAACTTTAAATTGAAAGTTTAATAAACTCATCATAGAAATCAATGTTTACGATGAACAGTAAATTCATATTAACTATACAAGCTAATATTATTCTTTTCACTTTAACTGTAAAACTAACATTATTTTTTTCACTTTAACTGTAAAAGCTAACATTATTCTTTTGACTTCTAAATCTAGCATTATTCTTTTATTACTATTATAAACTATTAAAATTAAATTTAAATGGATATTGAATGATAGTTGTGAAATTATCTAGTAACTGTTGTTCTCAAATTAAGAATGCATAAGTTGAAAAATTTAATCGAAAGAACTTGGGGATGTATGAAATTTTTTAAAGAACTAGCTATGGAATTATGCAATGACATTTAACTTTAAAAATTTGTTTACTATAGTTATACAGCATTATAAGTAGAATTTTTTGGATCATCCATCTCTATTTTGCGATGGTAGTCAGTGAGAGACAGTGACTAATCATAACTGGTGAATTGGTGCTAGTGCTCTTTCATTGTCATAAACGTTTGAGATATCTGTGTAAAGTTGTTGCCAATCTGGTTTCGGATATATTTTCTGTCATTGTGCATCCAGAAATGCTTTAGTTTTACTAAAATTTCTGTGATTCCCAAATTTAGTGACTACGGTTTAAGAATTCCAGGTTTAGCATATGTTAGCCAATTAGCACAAAATAAAATCGAGCCTACCGTTTGCATTTTCCCATCACTAAACAGTTTGTATTTCATATGCTTTAAGGAAAAGTTTAACAATCTGTGGTCATTTTAGTTGTGTTTGCAATAAATGTAAAATATTGATATATTTTTCAAAGTTACACCTTAGATACATTATATTGTCATGGAAATATAGTACTCCTACTCTTTCTGATGCATGCCATTCGTCACTGCAGTTTTCACCTTGACATAGTGGAAAAACTAATATTTTTCAGCAAACATATGCATTTAAAAAAATCTTATAGGCAACTTTTATTGTGAAAAATAAGTGTGCATGAAAATTGTAGTGTATGTATAAAATTATGATATTTTTGCTTAGAAAAATCTCTTACTACTTTTGGCAATTGTACAAAAAGTATTTAAGTATTATTTTCAATTAAAAGATGCAATTAATAGAAGTTTTGTTTCCTAGCATTTAGAAATTAGTGACTGCATCTTCAGATAGCAATTAGACACGATTAATATATGCTCACAATTTTAAATAAAAAATATTTTGTTCTGCATATGTATTTTTTAACTGCTTTGTTTCCCCTGGTTTCTTTAAAAAAATTTTGATTTTTAAGTTTGTAGGTTGGCACATCTAGAGTTTCATTTCTTTCATTATTAAATTTGTTCTCTTTTAATAGGGCCTATTATAATTGGGAATACTGCTGCTAGAGATAGGCCAGGTTTTCCTCTGAAACCTGGCATGTTCATGTCAAATGGTTTGTATAAATTTAATTTGTGTTTAGAAATTTGCTTACAGTGATTGTGTTTATGTGTGAATTTATCTTGTAAAATATTAAAATGAGAGTTCTTTATTTTAGAAACACATAAAATAAGTAAACCAGTATTATTTGAATGAGTTAATTAAGTGTTAAAGGAAAAATAATATTTAATATAAGTAATTTTTCATTAAATAATTCTGAAACTTGGAACAATCAAGATGAAATAAAGAATTATTAATGCTTATAAACTTGAATTTTACATGCATATTACCTTAATATAAGTAATTTTTCATTAAATAATTCTGAAACTTAGAACAATCAAGATGAAATAAAGAATTATTAATGCTTATAAACTTGAATTTTACATGCATATTACCTTATTATAAAACTGTTAAATCTTTATTATTTTTAAAGCATACTAAATTATTATTTTAATTTCGTATTATTTTTCTAAAAGTACGATTTTTATCCCAAAGGGAGTTTCTTTTTAAATCCAAGGAAATCATTTTATCAAAATATATAGCTCTGTTTTAAGTTATGCTAACATCATTGCTGATAACTGAAACTCTTTTATTACTTTCATTTTCTTTCTTCCTTATCATGCCATCTTTCAAGATGATGTTGCACCAGATTATTTTCAGGGAGCGGTTAATTAATTAAAAGAGCGTTCATATGAATTTACAGTTCTGAATAATACTTGCAGTTATATGTTCTTAAGTCAATTCAGAATATATAGAATAAATCTGAATGATAACTTTTATCCTGCAAACCTCCCAGAAGCAACAATAGTTCTCTTTCTCTTGATTTGTAAAAGCTTGAGCGCAGACTACATTTTCATTTGTTCTCTGGCTTAACCAGAACTTTTGCTGCCCAAGGCAGTCTCTGAATTCTGTTGATATACAAAAAATAATTACACAAAATGTCAAAATAACATATGGGGAAACAAGTTTAAACTCTATTTATTTTTGAAGAAAAATTTTAATTGCAACATTTTAAAATTATATTATTAAAACCATCAAGAGCATTCATTGTAGAGGATATTTGATTCCTCTTGCCATTACGTAAACAGTAAAATTTCTTAAATGCAAAGCATACATTTCTAGCCCTAAACTAGTTCATATATGATTATGCAGTAAACACTTCTCACAGCTAGTAACATTTGCAGTAATTGATAGGAAAGTTTGCTCTAATAATATGATATTTGGAACTTTGTTCTTGAGATCGTATTTTAGAATAAACTGCAGATATTCAAAAGGACTACTCTTCCACATTCCTGTTTCAAAAGTTCCTAGCAATAATGGAAATAAAACTCTGAAATACCTCTCTTTTAATGAGAAATTCTTCCTCGTGAATATCACTGTGATCATAAATTAGTTAACATTCTCAATTTGCATTCAAACGTTTCGACAGAATAAGAAAGTTATAACAAATGTATGCAGCTGTGGAAATCACGTGGTGGTTTTTGTAATACTTTATTAAAATTAAAAACTGTTCTTCTTCTTTATTGAGTTCCATATGGCAACTTAGAATCTAATTAATCTTCACCCGCCTCGGCGATCCACCTGACTAATCCCTATGAAATAATGTTTTATGCAAAATATGAGGCGCCTAAAAATGTGCTGCTGGGAGGGAGACTTCCCTCTCCGCCTTCCCTTTAGCTACTTCACTGCATTTGTTATACAAGAATCGTTACCAAAGTATCTGACTGGCAGCACATATAATGTCTATTTTATATGTCTAATTAGATCTATGTGAGTTATTCATGCAAAAATTCTTCATTTCCCTTTAGAAGTAATCTCTCATTTCATTACAGTATTATCTTTAAGATCCTTTCTCCTAAAATATTCTCTAGGAAAATTTTGCTAGTTTTGATTGCCTATCTGTAAAAAGAAAATAAAGGTTTTATCACATAAATAATGTATTTGTTTCCAATTGATTGTGTCCCATATCATTGAATTTTTCATAAAAAACAAAAAAGTGAAGGTACTGGTATTTGATTTAAGATCAATCCTGCCAGTATACACTGAAAATGAAATAATATGAATAAAGAAAAGACAGCTGTTAATACTTAAGTTTCTGTAATTAATCATTAGAGCTTAAAATGTTTTTATTTATTAAAAAGTTAAAATGGCGCACCTAAAATAATGTGCCATATACACTCATTGCCATAAAAATTTGCGCACCAATAAAGAGTTGTCAGAATGAAACAAAATTCGACATATGTAAGTACTACTTTGATATAGTAAGTGATTACAAAATCAAAGAAAAAGGATCATTTATTGCTGAAAAAAATACACATGAACGGAAGTTTTAGTATTCTGTTGGACCACCTGTAGCGCGAATGCACGATGCGATACGAGCGGGCATTGAGGCATACAAGTTCCGTATGGTGTCCTGAGACATCTCCTTCCACAGTTGCTGTAAACGCGTTTCTAGTTCGGCCAGTCTCGTAGGCTGTCTAACTTGCCGTCCCAAATGATCCGAGATATGCTGGATTGGTCACAAATCTGGGAATCGAGCAGGCCAGGTAAAAGTGTTAATGTGGTGGAGGCAGTCTTGTGTGATCCTTTCTGTGTGTGGCCGATCACTGTCTTGTTGAAAGCAGGCTCTTGGGAGCCCTACCATGAGAGGCAACACATGTGGCTGAAGGATGTCATGGACGTACCACTGGCCTGTCATTGTGCCATAGATCAATATTAGGGGTGACCGTGTATCGTAAGCAATGGCACCCCATACTATCACACCAACTTAGGAACGGTGTGTCGCTGTAAAGCGAAGGCCGGATTGAGGCGTTCACCACGAGGCCTCCACACACGAAAACGATTGCCATCACTGGTCAAATTGAATCTAGATTCGTCGCTGAAGATGACCTGGTTCCATTCCGTTAAAGTACAATCCTTGTTGTGCGCGACAATCACTCCAAACGGAGGCGTCGGTGGGTGGGTGTCATTGGCAGCACACGTAATGGACGCCGCGATACCAGATGTCCTTCAACAAAGCTCCTTGCGATGGTTCGGGAAGACACAAGGGCCAGTAATGAAGCTGCTTCTTGGTGCAATACATTTATCAATCAGTGCATGGAATGATGTTTTAGATGAAACAATTTATAAAGCCTTTCGACATGCAGGTTTTATTAAAGAAACAGACGTAACTGAAGAAATCCATGACAATAGATCTCATGACGAAGATGAGGTTCTCATGCATGAACTTCGCCGTAGAAATCCACAGTTGCCAGAACTTTCATTCGAGGATTTTTTAAATGTGGATTCTAATGTCATCTGCACGGAGGAAATATCGGATCACGATATTATTAGCAGCATAATCAACGAGAATGAGAGACTTTCAGATCCAAAGAAGAAGAAGAAGAAGAAAAAATGAAGTAACACCAAGACCGACTTTAAAACAAGCTGCTGCATACTTGTCAGAACTTAGACGATTTTTTGCGGCCAGTGATAATTGTGAAATGCTAACAAATATAGAGAAGATGGAGTCTTGCATTGTACAATCTGTTGTTTTAAAACAGACAAAGATAAGTGATTATTTTGTTGCTCAATGACTTAATAAAGGTACGTTTTACAAATATTTTATATTTCTTGTTTGTTTAATAGAATGGATATCATTTATTAAGTAGTAATACTATTAAAAATAATTCCTAATACATAAATAAAAGCATGGAATAGTAAGTATCACTAACCTGTCGCGAAAACATTAAAATGTGAAATACTAACAATTTCCGATGCCTTTCTAAATTACGAACTCTCGATTTAACGAACTGTTTTCGTAGTCCCTACGAGTTCGTAAAAACGAGCGTCTACTGTATATTGTATTTACTCATTTGCACTTGCAAGCATATGAGATATCGATAGCCTCATCAGTAGTCAAAATTTTAAAACTGCTCAATACTGGGAGTTTGACTCAAGTTCAGGCCCAGGCTGCTTACAGGAATGGTTTTTGTAGCTTTCGTTATGCATAAAATATGAGCATGAGCCAGTTCTCTTAGAAAGTTCTGCACAAAGGCATCCCTTCTCTTAAGCTGATAATCTTCATGTGCTTTCTCATATTCAAATAACCTAACTTACGTATTATGTAGGATTTCCTTCATAAGCTATGCATTGTAAATTTTCTTTTAAAGGAGTTTTTAGAATATTTTTGCATTGTTAATGGCATATTTCAATGAAATTTGAGCTAAAATTAATTATATCGCCACCCCCCAAAAGGAATGCCTTTGTGTGTTAAGTCGTAATTTTGCTGATTTTGCATTTTTAAAATGTATCTGAATTTATAGGACAGCCTATACTTCTTGAATAAAATAAAATAAAGGCTTCTATACATTGCATCTGTAATAAAATCCTAAAGGCAGAAAGCCTTAAAATCTCAAAGGCTGTTACATTTATAGTTTTATGGATATTTCATATACAATGTGTCTATATGAAGCTTTTATTTATTCAGCCATTGATCAAAGATACACTTCTAGTTATAAAAATATATTGAATGATGCAAATATTCATATTTTGGCATTTTTTTTTTTAAATTATGAAGTCTTAACTATCTGTGTGACACCTAGGGACTGTATAGTTACATTTAGGAAAAATTTTTACTCATTATAAAAAATAAAGTACAAAAAGTTTGAGTCCCATATGATAAAAATTGACTAAGTTATTTAACTCAAAATTTTGAGATCATTTTCATTTGTCATAAAATAATTGAGAAGAGAAATGCTTGCATTTACGCAAATGAAATTTCAGTTTTGGAAATGTTTGTGATGTTAACAGATTAAATTGTGTGGGTTGCTATGCAGATTGTCATTAGGCGTATTGACAAAATAATATATTTTAAAAGTAAGGTCTTAGACACAGAATATTATAGCATTTATGTTCTAGAAAACAATGGCGGATTTCAGTATTGGCGCATAGTTAACTCTAACATTATTTGCATAACTTAAAAGTTAAAGATATTTGTCATAGTTTAATGAATTTTTTAAAGTAATAAAATTAGACGATCATATTAATAGTATAGCTTTAGTATTTGAAAAGTTAAAAATTATTTGTGTGAAATTTCTTACCAAACATTAAATTTTAAGTTATTAAATAAATATTTAAAAATATATATAAAATTAATTCATACCAAATATTAAAATATATATATAAGTTAAAATATGTTACATACCAGTAAATAACAGAAGAATATCATTAGATGATATTTAAAGGGGGGTTGATAAAATTCAGTTATTCTAATTTATTTTTCAGCTGACCTCTCTAGGCAAGCTGAAAATGTAGTTAGAAATCCCAAATTTTGAAATTTAATATCTAAATCAATTTTTGTAATTACCAGCAATTTTGAAAGTAAGAGTCACATATAGACTTCTGTGGAAACAGTGTACATTGGAGTAATATACTATTGCAAGCTACAAATATGTGAAACTCGGTCCAGATAGTTACTCCAGATGAACAGGAAAAAAAACTTGACAGTTTGTTTCAATTAAAACAATGCGCAACAAAAATAACAGCTCTAAAATAATTCAAGAAGAATGCAGAGATAAATTCCTTAATATACAAAAAATACTGCGGTTTACTAATATCACTTGCAGACTAACTCAGCAAACACTTTGAATTGCACTTTTGAGCAATTCGGGAGGGGGCGAGAACATGCCGCTCAAACACGAATGTTTATGTCATTTTGCTTGGACTAAAAGTTTTGGTAAAAAATCACTTCTAGACCTTCAGAAATGTTTTCTTTAAAGTTACGAAGTTGACATCAAAAATTATCATCAGAGGAGTTTCTGCTGTATCCAGTTAGGGAAGTGGGTTCCACTTGAACTATTTTCACAGTTTAAATGTTGTTAGATTCAGAATCACTAAATCTACAGTTTTATACGAGAAATTAGCTCCTATGTACAAAGCTATAAATTCAGTTACACTAAAAAAAAATATCCTAAAATTCTTGCCTAAAATACAAAAAATAAATCAATATATAAGTAAAAACAATATAAAACTTCAATACACAGAAAAAAACATAATCAAATGGATTCAAATAATTGCAAAAATTTATTATAAAAATATTTTATATTTACTAAAAAACTCAGAAACACTATAAACGTTTAATGAGGTTTCCTTATTATAACAATTAGCAGATCCAGAAACGTATAAGATGCCTTTTACAAATTTGGTAGTTAAGTTTAACAGTTGTGTACTCTAAACACACTGGACACTTCAATGAGGGAGTAGCTGTTTAAGTAAATTTTGTACTGAAAGAAATTAATTTAGCTTATGAATTCTTCTAATGGCGTGCATATTTTCCTTAAAAGAAACTAGATGTATTGCATCTCAGTTTCATTTTTTAACACAGTGAATTAATTGTGAATAATTAATTAACTGAAAGCAAAAAAGAAATGGCATGCTTGTATCTGCTATGTTCCTTTCAGAAATATTATGGCGAAAATTGTACAATGAGATTAAATCCTTTATTTTTTTTAGTATTAAATCTTGGAGAAAATTACCATCTGTTTTGAGTTACTTGATTATAATTCTATGTTAATATCTTCTATTCATTTCTAGAACCAGGTTATTATGAAGAACAGAAATTTGGAATAAGATTGGAAACTATGATGATGGTTGTAAAAGCTCATACAAGGGTAAGCGTTATGCATATATAGTGTTTCTCAAGAAGATTTCATGATTAAATCTGATTAAATGTCATCATTATTAATCATGATGATTAAATCTTAGTAACTGATTATAGTTCCAAAGCTCCAGTTTAAGAAATAATAAAATAAAATAGGCCTTCATATTCCAAAAATACAAGAAACGTAATTTTTTATACCAACTGTGTAAGGAAAAAAAATGAATGACAATTTTTTCAGAAAAATGTAAATGTAAAATGTATGTAAAAATTACTAAATGTAACTGAATGGATGCCTGCATCGCTATTTCGCTACCGACTTATCGCTAAAGCATAATTTAATCTCGTTGGTTGTTCAAACGTAATTTTCTATAACGAATGAGGCTTTTTCTTTGAAAAAATTCTCGGTAAAGTGCAGAATCGCCGACTTATTTGTTTGCCGCTTTTTACAAGGGTAAAAACAATTGGATTTTTGTCAATTTTCTTTTACTTTTTAAGTGAAAATAGGTCGATGTGTACATACATAAAGTCAAGGGAATAGCTGTTTAAGTAAATGCCATTTTTGTGCAATTCTGGGAGCAGTGCCAATTTTGTGCAATTCTGGGATTTTTTTTTAAGTGAAAATAGGTCATGTGCACATGGATACCGAGTATGTGCAATTCTTAAAAACACTTCAAGCAATGGGTGATTCTGCACTTGACGAAAAATTCTACTGCCGACTTTCCGTCATGGGCAATTCCCAAATTGTTAAATCCATAAGATATCAAAAAAAGAATTTAAAATGAAAAAAAGAATTTAAAATGAAAAAAAGAATTTAAAAATTAAACTAGTATATTTCAATGGCGTCCTAAGAAATATAGAATTATATAAACTTACGCAATCTGAAATCAGCGCGTACGCTAGATTTGGCGCTCTGTTAAATGGGCGCTTTGTTAGATTGGGCGCTTTTGCGCATACATTTTCGCTGCACTTTTTTTAAGGTCCTCAAAACAGAATAGTACCGTTATTTTTCAGATAATTAAAATGGAGTGTCAAAATAAGCATTTTCGACAAAAATAAGAATTTTCGACACTTTCTTCTCTTTTGCTTTTAATCGAGGCGCTAATGCTGCCCGAGAGATTTGTGAAGTGCATGGAGAAGGTGCAGTGCCTGAACGAACTGCAAGAAATTGGTTTTTCAAATTCAGAAATGAAAATTTCGACCTCAGAGACGCTACTCGTTCCGGACGACCAAATAAGTTTGATGAAGAGCGTTTGAATCAACTTCAACGAAGACGCGCGTCAAACCACTCGAGAATTAGCTGAACGAATGGGTTGTAGCCAAATGACTATAGTTCGACATTTTGGGTCTATGGAAAAAATCCAAAAACTCGGATATTATTGATAATTTATTGTTTTTTGTTTTGTTAAAATAAAAGTTTTTAAATTAAAAAAACGGCCATTACTTATGTTTCAACCCAGTAGTTAGTTTGCAGATACAGTAAAGCATTCAAACTGATTTGACTGTTGAACTTTTTGTGCATTGCTTCTTGTAATATTGTATGTGACCTCGGATGTACCAGCCATCACAGGTACTTGTAGTGTAATGTGATCTCAGTTTCGTCAGTTATGTGTGGTACCTGTGAAAGTTAAGATTATATAGGAAGGGCTTTAGACTTTGGTAGGGGACCCCAACCCCTTGTCTGGGGCAGAAATGTGCTCACGGACAATTTTATGTGTGGCCTTTACCGAGTACTAAAATTTTATGTAAAATGTTTTACATTTAATAAATAACTAGCAGCTTCGCTGCCAGCCTTCGTCTGGCTTTTAAATGTACCGGAAAAATGACTGAAGGGAACACCAAACTTTAAATTTAAAAACTGCGTAGAATTTTACTCTGCAGAACAACTTCATAAAAAAAAAGTTATTACGTATAACAAAATTACAATGAAATAAGGAATATCCCTTAATACAAATATTAATTATCCTAATAAATAAATTAACCAACTTCCCTTTGCAAAATCTTAAGAACTCAAATGGTATAAAGGAGATTAAGAACTTTGTTTCCTAAAAAAATCACTCAAAACTTTTCAATATCTTAAAAACAGTGAAATGAGCAATAAATAACATAAAAGAATACAAAAAATTCTGAAAAGCAAAGTATAATTAATGATATTTTATCTTTTCAAGAGAAAAAAAATTATAATGAAATAAGCTATATCCCTTAATACTGTAGAGTACCTCACTTTGGAATTCTAAGTTAAAGTTGGAAGTGAGGAATCTAAGAACTCATAAGCGAATAATCGTTTGCGTTAGGTGACAAGAAACAACAAGATAGAAGGGTAACTAACCCTTTATTTTTCAATAAGATTTAACAAAACTCCGCCTGGGAGTGTACAAGCAAAGCCCGCACTTGGACTTGAACTAAAAAGACTAAGAATTAAACTAAAACTAAGATTAACTAAAAGAAGTATAGCCGAAGCTATCAAGGTTCAATTTGAGTTGGCCCCTTAACTTATTTTACTACGAAGCTTAGCAAGGGCCTGAGTACGGCCGTGCGTAATAACAGCTTTGAGAGAAAGCGTGGTTAAAAAGGCAGACGCGCGTAAATCAGCAACTCTGACTCAGTAAGTAACTTCGTGGTTAAAAAGGCAGACGCGCGTAAATCAGCAACTCTGACTCAGTAAGTAACTTCGTGGTTTAAATACCGCTCCTCCTCATTAAATATTCAGCAAATTCCAAAACTACGTTCTGGCCGGAAGTAGTAAGTTGAAGTTAAGAATTTGACAGGAAAGGAACTTTAACTTAAAATTTAACTGTTAATAAAATGAACATATTCCTTACATAGCTTCCGACCAGACTTTAAATACTCGAAAAATAAGGTCTCAAAACGACCTTGTTTAAGACTTTGTTTAAGACCTTATTTAAGACTTGTTAAGTCTGAAAACTTACGTTAACTACACTCTTCCAAATTTTAAATTAACTAAATGACTTTAAAGTTTCGTTTTTAGGGCCAACTTTACAACAATTCTAAAAGCTAGACTAAAGCTAGGAAAAATAAAATTTGCAATTGATCCTTTCTGGACATATATCTTGACATACATCTTCATGAATGGACACTTTATTCTGTTATAACTATGTCAGGTCTTGATCCTTCCATATCTGGAAGGAAATGTCATTAGTAATGCATTTTACAAAGCTTTTTTTTTTTTAAATCCTAACTTTACGCTTTTATTTCATCATTTGGCTCTCATGCACTTTCATTCATACTACAGTTTTATTTCACCCAAACTTTACGATATTTCGACACAAAGATTAAACATTTCTACATGAACATGAACTTTTAAATATTTAAACATCACTTTTGAATTCATTTTACATCAACAGTCATAGTTGCTTAATTACAATTTACCAATATTTACACGAAATCTTAACTTTACGTTAACAGATTTTAGTATTCTAATAGTCTTCCGACTAAACTTATTCACAATTTACTTCTCGCAACTTGCGAGTTCTTAACAAAAAAGTATTTAACTCTAGTAGCTTCTCGCCAAATTACTAACATAAAAATCTATGATTACGAACATTTACAATCAAACTTTCGCTATCTGCGATTTAACTTTTCTAAACATCTTTAGCAACTTATAACAAGATGATATAATTTGAACTTCAAAGAAAAATAAGCAAAGAAATTTTCACTTATCTTTTTCTGTATTCCTGCATCCTGATGTTACAGAACTGTTCAATGTAGGGAACCTGATGACCTCCAATCTTCTTCTCGAGCTTTGATGTTCCGCTCCGTTTAATTCCACTCTTTTCCTTTTTTTCCCCTTGTCTAGGAATCTGGGACTCTTGCGGGCGGGTTGCGGATTCTGGAATGCCAATTTCCTTTTTTGCTCCGGTGGGGATATCCGTCCTTCAGGGTCTTTGAATCTTCTCTTGGCCCTTCTAACTTGTTGGTCCGGCACGGTTGTGTCTACAGGTCTTTTCTGGCTTTTCGGTCTCCATGCTGGTCCTCCTTGGGCCTCCCTTGTAGTTGTTGATGCTGGAAACTGTGCTTTACGTCTCGTTTTCATTCGTCGTTGGATTCTCTCCTTTCCTGGACCCATGTCAGCAGGCCTCCTCTTGTGGTCGATGGTACTTGAGTTTTTGCAGAATCTTCGGTTCTGACTCGTTGATCTGTCGGTGCTAACTTCCTCCTTTTCTGTGCGCTTGTAGCATTACTGGAATGGGTTTCCCTGGTCGAAGTTTGCTGGCTCTGCTTTCTTTTTTGTGTTGGGGGACTCCAGCTGTGCTCCTGAGCTGGCGGGCTTCTCTCCTTACTTCCAGGATCCTGTAATAAATCCTGCAATATTTTAAAGTCAGTGCGGCTGTAATAAGGTTTTAACTGATCGATATTTGCAACCAGTTGTTGGCCATTTTCGGCCTTTAAATAAAACGTGGCTTCTCTTATTCTTTCCACCATGTACGGCCCTTCAAACCTGGGCTCAAACTTCGCAACTCTGTTTTCTGGTGCCGATGATAACGAATATTTCAACTTAAGAACTTTCTGTCCCACTTTATATTCCAATTCCCTTCTATTTCTATCGTATAAATCTTTTTATTTTTTTTTTTTTTTGTTTTTTTTCTTGCTATATCAGAACTTTTAATTGCTTCGTCGATAATTTTTTGAACGTCTTTTAACTTGAATTCTTCTTGTCGCTGTTGTACAAAGAATAGCTTATCCAACGGCGTTATGATTTTTCTTCCTAAAAATAACTCCGCGGGGGTTTTCTGCGTAGTATCGTGCTTTGCGGTTCTCAAGGCAAAACCTAACTCATTGACACAGCTGTCCCAGCGGTCATGAAAATTTTTCACATATCCCCTGATAATTTTTACAATATTCTTATTTACGCGTTCCGCTATATTCGACTGCGGTCTATATGGTACCATTTTTAGATGGCGTATGCCAAGTCCTGTGCACAAATTTTTAAATATACTACTAACAAACTGTTTTCCGTTATCTGATATTACTTTTAGTGGGGCCCCGTATTTT